TTTCGGCAAATAGATGTGAAGTGAAAACCATTAACCTCACTGGGACCTACTTAGCAACCTATACATTCGTTTATTCCTGTCTAGAGAAAATAGATTTATGTGAGCATATGCTGAAAAATGGGTACCCTACTCAGCACTGTGGGTTCATAATCTATTCTTTATTTTATTTTATTTTATTTGTATTATTGAAGTGCCTAAGAGCCTGAGTCATGGACCAGGATCCATTATGCTAGGTTCTGTACAAACACTTAACACATTTACATGCACTTCCTCTTTAAAGCTGGCTGGGACAGAGCAGTTTAATACCAGCCTGTCCTCCCTGTTCCATCTTTTTCTATTTTCCATGTACAGTCCAAACTCTCAGTTTGCAATTTTATATGGCACTTTTATTGAATTTATCACTGAAATTACTGTCAATCATTATGATCTGATTCCACTGGTTACTGAACACTGAGGCTGTTTATTCCATGAGCGTTTCAGCTTCTTTATCTTTTCCTCTCACCATCTCCGTTACACTACTAGATACTGTAGGATTAAACTCCTTGGCTTGTTTCTCAACTATGAGCTGAGGGGTGAAAACATTATCTACTGTCTGTAGGCAGAGTTACAATCCAGCTGCCTTTTTGGCATCCTGCCCCAAGCACTGATCCATATACCTCAGTCACCAAAATCTGCTTTTTCATTTGTTCATAGATTCATAGATTCTAGGACTGGAAGGGACCTCGAGAGGTCATCGAGTCCAGTCCCCTGCCCGCATGGCAGGATCAAATACCGTCTAGAACATTCCTGATAGACATTTATCTAACCGACTCTTAAATATCTCCAGAGATGGAGATTCCACAACCTCCCTAGGCAATTTATTCCAGTGTTTAACCACCCTGGCAGTTAGGAACTTTTTCCTAATGTCCAACCTAGACCTCCCTTGCTGCAGTTTAAACCCATTGCTTCTGGTTCTATCCTTAGAGGCTAAGGTGAACAAGTTTTCTCCCTCCTCCTTATGACACCCTTTTAAATACCTGCTATCATGTCTCCTCTCAGTCTTCTCTTTTCCAAACTAAACAAACCCAATTCTTTCAGCCTTCCTTCATAGGTCATGTTCTCAAGACCTTTAATCATTCTTGTTGCTTAAAGGTCTTGATTGTTCTTTGATTCTACTAAAAGAAAGTTTTAATTATTAGAAATTAGCCGTAGTTGGTTCTCTTTCTTTAAATTTTAGGGGTTAAAAAAAAAATTGCCAGTAGGAAGATTGTGAAATGAAAGATTCTGGAGACAATAATGAATAAAATAATTTCTATTTTCTTAAATAGTATATTCAGAATTGCTTAGGTCTGGATGCCCAAGTTGCCCTTCGATAGTAAGATAAGGTAAGAAATTGTATAGACAGCACAATTATCAGCCAAATCTAATGGAGATTCTGAGATAATTCCATATCAGTGAGATGTGTGTGTGTCTGGGGAGTGGAGAAAACCTTCCATCTAGAGATGAACTATTATCAACAGTGCATGCATGCATCCGAAGAAGTGGGCTGTAGTCCACAATAGCTTATGATCTAATAAATTTGTTAGTCTCTAAGGTGCCACAAGTCCTCCTGTTCTTCTATTATCAACAGTGCTCTTCATCTGATGCTAATGTGAGTATTCTCATCTGTTATTTGTGTTTGAGTTGTAGGGCTTGTCTACATAGATATTTAGTGTATGTCTACACTTTGAGGTGAAAGGTGTAATTTCTACCTTGAGGAGACAAACCCATGCTAGATCTGATCAAGCTGGCACGCTAAAAATAGAGTGTAGCTGTGACGACATGGAAGGCTTGCTGCATCAAGTATGTTCCCATCCCGGATGCTAGGTATGTACTTGGGTGACTAGCTCCTTCTGCCGTTCACATCATCGCAGCCATGTTTCTATTTTTAGTGTGTTTACTCGATAAGAGCTAGGACAGGTATGTCGTCTTAATCTGGAAATTACACCTTCAGCTCCAAGTGTAGACCCACCTTTACTGTGTGGCAAGCCAGGATGTCACTCTACAATGCACTAGCTTGGTGTGTTCTGTCTGTCTGTGTGGATCCTGCTACTGTGCACTAAAAGTTTTGTAATGCACTTTGATGAAACTTTGTGTGTGGCAGCACAGTCCACATGGCCAATTAGTGTGCAGCAAGCTGACCTCTCCCACTTCCCACCCCCTGACTGCCCCCCTCCTCATCCAACCCCCCTGGTCTTTGTCTCCTAAGCACCCCTCCCGGGACCCCCCTCTCCTAACCCCAGCTCGCTGCACACTAAGTCTCAGTGTAGACAAGCCCTTAGATTCTTATTTGCCTTTCATCAGATTCAAATGTCTGATCTTCTTTATAAGAGCTTTCTAAAGGAAAAAATGGTAAACCTGTGGAAATGACAGTGCTCTGTGACACACTTTGTGTCTAACGGCACAGGAGACCAGTAACCTTCAGAGGAATTTGGCACAGAAGTTCTTCCAAAGTGGGGAGACTCTATTTAAAACCTTCTTATGAATACAGCATATTTGCATTGTTCTCCATTGAAATGTTTTCATTATGAGAATCCTATCTTCCTAGAGCACCTGAGAAAAAGCACTCATACCATGGTCATGAGCATGGTATAAATGCCTCGATGAGAGACTAACTAATGAAACCAAGATATTTCATATTTAGCCCAGTGTAACAGTGCCTTTTGTTTGTATGGAATATAATGCATGAAGCAATGACTGTGTTCGTTTTTTATAGAACTAGCCCTCTGAACTTGCTGTGAATGGGGCAGGCCTTCTGTCCCACACGTGGCACAAGGAACTCAGTGTATATGGAACTAAGGGGGCATCTTGGATTGTCTTCAAAGCAATGGCAAGGACAGTCCAGCCCTGGGACCAGCAAACCTGTAGTTACTTTCTTTGTTCTCAACTTCTTCCATTGCATCTTGTTGCTCGTAAAGGGTTCAAACATTACAGATAAGGCTGTAGACTGTGTTAATAAAGAGCTGGTAATTGATATGTTTCATCACTACTTCATATTTCCTGCTTTGGCAATTCTCTCTAATTTAAGACCATCCATAATTTTAACTGTAACCTGCCACTTTACTATCATAGCTCATTAGGGGAACCTGGAGGCATTTGAGGGTCTCAAACACTTTAGAAAACACTTTTGAAAAACAATACTTAAAAGTAAACAGTGTATAGACCATACATAATCCTGGCTTCTGCTTCCTTACCAATATCTGACCATGGACTGATGAACTTAATCCTAGAATACATAAGGAACTAGTAGAAGCATTCTTGGAACTGCTAGCAGTTATCTTTGAGGAGGTCCCAGAGGACTGGAGAAGAGCAAAAATGGGAACAAAGACGACCCAAGGAATTTATACACTAGTCAGCCTAATTTTGATACCTGTAAAGATACTGGAACAAATGATTAAACAATCATTTTGTAAGCAGCTAGAACAGAGGTGGACAAACCGTGGAAATGTTGTGCTGAATGTTTGTAGTGAAATTTGAAACTGCCTGATTTGGTGTGGGCACTATGGAGGTTAGGGGTCCCCAGCCAGGGGAAGGGATATTAGCATGAATATCAGACCGGTAGGTAGGCGAGCACCACTCAGACACTTAGCTTAGTTTAATGTGTTTGCTTTTATTATTGACTAAGCTAGTGTTCAGTGCAATGGAGAATTGTCTGCTCTTCTTGTTCTTCCCTTTCTCTGCACCTCTTCTTGCTCTCCCATTTCTTTGCTGTCCAGTTCCCTTTCTTTCTCCCCTTCTCTGATTTTTCTTCTGATTTGAATCAGCAAAATAAATGCCAAGAAAAATATGATTTAATAGAAAATGCTATAACTTTTCTGATGGGGGAAAAAAGGGAATTTCAAAGTGCTGTGTCCGTATGATGTCATCAAAGGACAGGATTTCAGCCAAGTCCACTGCTGAGCAAATATCTTGTCAGAGGGACTCTAACCTTGTAATTAATATGATAGTAACACTCTCTAACTATGTGTCTCTGAATATTAATACAGTATGAGCACATATCGACTTCAAAGGAATTTGGAAATAGTCAACTGTAATTAGTAATTTTCTGGGAATTGAGCTGCCCAGTTGAGGGCCTGGGTCCTACGGATGCAGGCAGTAGGGAGAATTCCATACGTGCAGTGTAATATGTGATGATTACATTACAGCACTGTGTGTGGGGGGATGCATGTATGTGTGGGGCTGTTCATTTGAATAATAGAAGTAAGAGAGACCTGTTTGCCTGCAGTCCTTCCCCACAGCTGCTTCTTCAGGATTATTACCTACAGCACTGCCTTTCTTTTCTCAATGTAAAAATGTTGATAAAGCAGAATTAATCTGCCTTTAAATGATAGAATACTGCTTCATGCATCTATATTCTTCCTACAGAGAGAACTCACGAATGCAAGCAGACAAAATGAGGAGTCACCTTAGGAAATAGCAAAGAAATGCAGTTTCTCCAGCTGCAGGGAGCTGACCATACGGGCTACAGGTTGTTACCTGGTTGCTTTTCCTATTCTGACTAGTGTCTGGGCTAAGGGCTGCCAGGCAGAAAGCTCTGGGTTTAGTTGGGTTTTGTTACTGTGCTTTTGTTATTGTGCATTGTGAGCATTGCGAGATGTCTGTATAGAACTTTGTGTTTGAGCTTTTGTTGGTATTTGTGCATTTCAGATTTGGAAAAGGGCAAAGCGCAAAACTTCTTTAAAATCTGTATTCCATGACCATGTAGTGCCTCAGCCAATCGTTGTTAAAGAAACTTTGAGAAACACCATAATCTGAGGCATCTCTGTCTCATGAGTCCAGAGTTTGTCATACAGGCTTCAGTCCAAATGCTTGAAAGGGTGCCTTTAACTCGTTTGTCCGTACTTTTTTCACTGGGTTCCTTTGAAATGAAAGGCTTGTGTTAGACTGTAATCCCTCAGAGGAAGTTTGGCTGTGCAGGGGAGATGTGGGAGGCACTAAGACCCAGGAGGCTCCTGCCTTGTTGGCTGGAGTGGGGCAGGCTGTGCATGTACAGAGGGAAGGAAGTCATTAGTGCAGGCTGAGCCGTGGAGTTTGGGGCTCTTGCTGGATTTCCCCACCCGTTTGTAACTTTGTCCTTGTGGCAGTTTTGTGGGCAGAGTTGGGCACCCAGCCAAGGCTGCTCCTTGCACTGCAGGGTCTGTGGGGGTATGTTCTGCTGATACCTTTGGAATTTACTTCGTGAAAATTGACTGAAGCAGAAATGCATCCCGGAGTTGGGAATTCTTCCAGGCTGCGTGTGAGGGAATCATTGGTTTGATCTTTGTTAGCAGAGTGGCTTGGATGGCAGCGGGTGTGTGTGTGTGTGCGCGCTAATTTCCTGCAGGAGAGAGAATTGCAGCTCCTACTTCACCAAGGCTCTTCCCTGAAGGAGAATCCCTATCCCAGGGACCCACAAGGCTGCAGGTTTCCCTGGAGAATGACCTGTTCAGGCAGTGGAGCTGCTGCTTCTGGGACTTCCTGATGGGCAGGGTTTTTATGGCATTTCCACCAGTTTTTCTTGAGCTAAATACCAAGAGACTCGAGACTTTTCCCCCTTTTCTGGCTCTGTGATTTCCTTCTCCAGTGAATATGGCAAAGATTTAAAGGGGCAGGACGGAGGCAGCATGACTTGCAGCTGCAGCTTCCCTGCATCTGCCACCAGCATCCAGCCAATATCTTGATGCTCAACATTTCTGCTTTACAAATATGATGAAATGGCAGCCCCGGAAGAAGGTGAGTGATGGTGAGGAGGTGGGATCAGCTGCCCAGTGTTCCCCCCCACAGATAAATCCTGGGAGCATCCTGCACCCCTCTCCTCTACAGGTGACCATGGTGAGGGTTGAGCAAACCCTTCCCCATCCCCCACAGGTAAATCCTGGGAGTGGGAGTGACCTTGCCCTCTTCTCCTTTATAGGTGACCTGGGAATTGAGCAGTTCCATGCCATTGCTAGGGCAGTATACATGTTCTATTGCTGTTTTCACAATCACATTATTTTACAGCACCCAAAGTATGCTGGGTGCTGTGTGGGGCTACGTTATCCTCTCTAGGTTGTGACTGGCAGCATTAGTGAGCACTAATTTTTCTTCGCTTCCTTTGTCATTTCTCAACTCGGTTCCCTGCACTGGCCCACGGGTAGGAGGCACAAAGAGGAGAAAGGTGGACCAGTAGCTTTGTAGCTCTGGTTCTGGCCTGGATGCAGCCCCCTTGTGCTGTAACTTGACAGAATGTGCCAAAAGGGGCTTTGGCGGTGGCTGTGTACTGGGGAGCAGAAATCTGATCCGGCATGTAGATTTGCAGTGGGCACTGAACCCCGGGAAGGGAAGCACAAGCTCATTACTGCTGGGGGTGGGTGGGGTGGGGGGATAATGCCTTTTTTATTCATTCCTGGGTCCAATCCTTTGGAGATGTGTAATCAGGTTTTGGAGGAAGGTAAAAGCCTGCAGAACCTATCATACCTCTTATCACTGTTTCATTATGTTGGGAAAGTGCTGAAATGGTATTTGGAATGGCCTAGCCCTGAAGGGGTTAATGAGGCTTGCAGGCCCACAACAGCTTCTCTGGGGTCCCACTGGGGGGCGAGCAGAACATTCACACAAAAACAGGGATGGGATGGTCACAAGGGTGCAAGGGGTGGAGCTGCCTCAGCCTCTGTGCATGTGCCTGTGTTGGTGCATAGGTCAGCTTTGTTATTTGCTCTGCTTCATGCTTAGAATGCATGCACAAATTGCATTCCTCTTCCTCCACGGCCATGAGTGTGTGCTGACCAGTGTGCCTGTATGAGTGCCGCTCTGTGTGCATTTGCCACTGTGATTCCACCTCTGTGTGCCACAGTGATTGCGCCTTTGTGTGTGTCTGATTGTGTTTGGCGTATGGATCGTAAACAGTAAATCTCTCTTTTCCGGCTATTTCCTAATATGGCTCCTGTGTTGGAAGCAGAGTCTACAAAGCTTGCTCAGTAGTTACGTACAAATAAATTGCCATTGGCCACAGAAATAGTGTGTGAGATGAGGGAATGTGCTGTGAATGCAGTTAGCAAGTTGTCTGTGTTGTGGAGACTCATTTTTGCTAACTTGCCTGGATTGTGATAACTATGCAGTGACCCTAGTGGTTTGCCGCATAGCAGGACATTTTTAAAAAACACATTTGGCAGTTTGTTTTATTGACATTCTTTAAAGGAAAATCTAGCAAACCGAATGTGCTGTGCCCCTCTCCAGCAATGACCCTCTGCTTCTGGCAGCTGTGGGCTATTATATTTCTTTGGAAAAACCTGCTTGAACCAGCAGGGCTGCCTCTCTTTATAGCATGATGTGTGATATTGTGTTTTACATCAGGGCAGAAATAGAAATCACATGTGAAATGCGTGAGAGGGTCTCTTGCTTTGAGTGTTACTAGACACTGAAATGAACAGTGCTTCAGAATAGCCTGATTGGAGTTCATATTCCCACTGCAGCTCAGGGTAATGGGTTAGCTTCCATATCTCTGACACCTCGTCTCTTCTCTCCATTCTGAAGCCCAGAGATGTTCTTTTAGTATTTCCAACAACTGCTGTATCAGATTAAAAACTGTTAAGTAGAAATAACTGAGGGAATGTAAGCTTGTTGGAGGCGTCTGTCCATTTATCAAGCTTCCGTCTCCATCTTCCTCCCTTAAATTGCTTTTAAGATGTCTACAAACTATACATTCATAAATGTCTGTTTTTACTATTCCACCAAACATACAGTAACTCCTGTGGTTATGGCTGTGCAAAGCCCTCTAGGCCATGCATACAGAAGTATTGACTGAACCACTGAAATATTATTCTTGGCAGCTGGCTGGGCTTTTGGACTCCAGAAGATTCTATTTCAAGTGTCAGGATTCATTCCACCGTATTGGCTCACCCTGGTGATGCTTAAATCACAATACCAGAAGCTATATTTATTCTCTGCGCTAATGTCTAGTTCATAATCCCACATTATGATACTTCAAGCAACCAAATTTGATTCTGTAGAATGGGTAGGAGATTTTTTTAATTCAGCCTGGACTATCACATATTTTATTAATCTGGTTGAGATGGTAGTCTGGATAAAAATAATTCCTTCTGCTGTGATGTGATTGAATACAACATGAAAATAGTTTCCATTGTAGTACAGTATCAATAAAAATCCTAGCAGAGATTTGGTTTATTTAGTCACTGTTGCCAGAGTGCTCACATGAGCACAGCCAGGCTTTCTGCTGGCCTTACCTTAATGCTTTTGTAGTGTTAGGATCATGTGCTTTATTAAGCAGTTTCAAGAAAATAAATCCGGCAAAACACTACCAGCTGGCACAGTAGTACCACTCTTACTCAGCAGATCAATATCATTTTAACAAAGCTAAGGAGAAGATACAGTAGCTAGCATTTCTGTAGCCTCCAGCTACATTTAGGGGTAGGTCAGTTCGATAATGAAATGACTTGCCTGTCTCTTGCTTATTAAACAAATGTTATGTTACAAAACCAGGAACTGCAAACATTTGTAAATGAGCAAACTGAGCATATTTCCTTAAACTTACCAAATGAGGGCTTTATTTTGATTTATTAGATTTGCACTTGACCCCTTTGTGCCATGTTTTGTTTAGAGATTTTGAAGGGGTATGTTCTTTGCCCAGGCTGTGCCTTTCAGGTGCCTGGCTAAGTACCATAGGAGTGGTTTAACAGAGCGTGCAATTTACCAGCTGCATTAGTGCATGGATAGTCCTGTAAATAGACTGAGGGTAAGCATCCTTTTTTTCTGATCCTAAGGTGTAGCTATAACTTTGAATCCATGCATTTTGCACACAGCAAATAAATATATAAAAGGGATTGAAGTATGAAGGGATTGAAGCTCTGCTCATAGGCTATTTGTATGTTCATAAAGTTAGAAAGATTCAAACTCCGTGTAATCAAGCAATTAATGTTAGATGTTTCAGGGTAAATAGTGTAAACAGAACTGCAATTAAGAACTGTAAGGGGACGGTGACTAGATCTATTCTGTCTTACTCAAGGATTATGTGAGGCATGGCATACTGGGAATCTCGCACCATGTGTTGTCCTAGTGGTGTTGGCAAGTGGCTCATTTAGAAATCCCCCATGAAGAAGACAATCCCTTTCCCATAGGGCCTCATTGTTACATCCCGTCTAACAATAGTCACCACTGGGCGCTTGCACTCTCCACTCCAAGCCCACCTGGTAGGCCAGTAGTGCCATCCTAGAGATTTACAGCAGTCACCTGGAAGCGGGAAGGGGGGCTATTTCTCCTGTAACTGTCTATCTTGTTCACAAAAATGGGCTCTTAAGAGAGAAGAAGCCATTAAAGGAGTCACCAAGGGCAAGTCATGCCTGACTAACCTAATTGCCTTCAATGATGAGATAACTGGCTCTGTGGATATGGGGAAAGCGGTGAACGTGTTATTCCTTGACTTTAGCAAAGCTTTTGATATGGTCTCCCACCGTATTCTTGCCGGCAATTTAAAGAAGTATGGGCTGGATGAATGGACTATAAGGTGGATAGAAAGCTGGCTAGATCGTCGGGCTCAACGGGTAGTGATCAATGGCTCGATGTCTAGTTGGCAGCTGGTATCAAGCGGAGTGCCCCAAGGGTTGGTCCTGGGTCCGGTTTTGTTCAACATCTTCATTAATGATCTGGAGGATGGCGTGGACTGCACCCTCAGCAAGTTTGCAGATGACACCAAACTGGGAGGAGTGGTAGCTACGCTGGAGGGTAGGGATAGGGTACAAAGGGACCTACACAAATTAGAGGATTGGGCCAAAAGAAACCTGATGAGGTTCAACAAGGACAAGTGCAGAGTTCTGCACTTAGGACGGAAGAATCCCATGCACTGCTACAGACTAGGGACCGAATGGCTAGGCAGCAGTTCTGCAGAAAAGGACCTAGGGGTTACAGTGGACGAGAAGCTGGATATGAGTTGACAGTGTGCCCTTGTTGCCAAGAAGGCTAACGGCATTTTGGGCTGTATAAGTAGGGGCATTGCCAGCAGATTGAGGGATGTGATCACTCTCCTCTATTCGGCATTGGTGAGGCCTCATCTGGAGTACTGTGTCCAGTTTTGGGCCCCACACTACAAGGAGGATGTGGAAAAATTGGAAAGAGTCCAGCGGAGGGCAACAAAAATGATTAGGGGGCTAGAGCACATGACTTATGAGGAGAGGCTGAGGGAACTGGGAAGAGAAGAATGAGGGGGGATTTGATAGCTGCTTTCAACTACCTGAAAGGGGGTTCCAAAGAGGATGGATTTAGACTGTTCTCAGTGGTAGCAGATGACAGAACAAGGAGTAATGGTCTCAAGTTGCAGGTTGGATATTAGGAGAAACTTTTTCACTAGGAGGGTGGTTAAAGCACTGGAATGGGTTACCTAGGCAGGTGGTGAAATCTCCTTCCTTAGAGGTTTTTAAGGTCAGGCTTGACGAAGCCCTGGCTGGGATGATTTAGTTGGGGATTGGTCCTGCTTTGAGCAGGGGGTTGGACTAGATGACCTCCTGAAGGCCCCTTCGAACCCTGATATTCTATGGGCTCGGCTACACTGAGGACTTCACAGTGCTGCCGCGGCAGTGCTGTGAAGCGCGAGTGTAGTCGCACCACCAGCACTGCGAGAGAGCTCTCACGGCGCTGTAAGTCCTCCACCTCTCCGAGGGGAATAGCTTGCAGTGCTGCGAGCGAGCGTGCAGTGCTGCAGGCACTGATTACACTGGCGCTTTACAGCACTGCACTCGCTGTCT